TTCTGTGGAGATGTAAAGATGAGACTTTATTCTGCATGTTGATGAATGAATTATACATACTGCCACCTGAATGTCAAGAAGATATAAACAGAAATTCAAAGGTAGGATGTCAGGGAGGGGTCGTCGTAATGAAGAAGAGAAGGAGAATGAAAAGTGTTAAAACGGGGCTGGAAGTGATAGAAGAGAAAGAGGAGGACTGATACAGAGATAGAGATAGTGATAACTTCACCCTAATTCTCTTCTGTATCAAACACTGACCTCCTTTAAGCTTGAGAAGTTCCTTTTAAAACTGTGTACTCTGATCTGTCAAGGATCAGAGTCTGTAGTCAGTTTGTATTCATGTCACACCCCCCCGGATGAGAACACACCCCTTATAAAGAAAGAAAGCACAGACTCTGCAGTGTTGCAAACTCATTCTGCATAATTTTCCCATTTTGATGATGCATTTCATGTGCAACCCAAACTATATTGACTTGCATTTTTTGTATATGCAATGTTTGTAGCAAAATGAATTAAGTGTTGGCGAGCGGCGCATAACATGGGCATCGATAGTGCCGTCGGGCAACTTACAGATGGTGTAATTATCTCCTCATAAGGTTATTAGAGGATCAATGAAGCCTGGTGGCCTGATGGCAGAGGTGAGCTGATGACGGATGGAAAATGGTTATGATGAACCGACTGCAGAGTTGCAGCACAGCAATGTTAGAGAGGGAAGAAAAAAGACAGCATGGTCTTCTTGGATTAGTGCATGGTATGTACTTAAACATAAGAGAAAGAGGTCAGAGGTACTGTGATGTACTTCCTATTTAAGTGATTTGTCATTGCCTTTCAAAAGAACCCATCTTGTTAGGTATTGGGAATGGCTATGGTTCAACTAACATTCACTGTTGGTAGAGGATGGGACATAAATGATCTCTCTTGTGACAGAGAGAGTAATTGAGACGATTCAACTTCCTGCCAGTCTACATGCCAAGTTTTTCTGAACAAACCAGTTTTACAGAATGAAAAGTGAAACCATCCACAGTGAGTTAAAGTAAGACATGCCCTCTTAATGTCATTTCAGACATAATGAAGGGTTATGGAGTCCAGGTCCGTCAGTTGCTTAGACCACAAAGCAGAACACAGCTGAACTCTGGGTCAAGTGAGGACAGCTGGCATCAGCTGGTTCACCCAAGATCTAATTTACACACTTTTATATAATGTGTTTTTTCCTGTTAATGTCATTTTACTTGACTGTTTGATTCACCAGCAACACTTCTGCATCCTAAATCTGTTCATATTATCTGTCTAAAACATTTATCTTGCCTGCTTCTATGTAGAGATTTTTTGTTACAAAGCACTTATGAAAGCAGAAACAAAGTGCCTCACAAAATAAATACAGTTATGAGCACCGGAAGAAAACTTTAAGAATAAAGTACACAAAGGACGAATGCACAATAATACATACAACAATAATTGAAATAAAATACAGATTGACTTTAACATAAGCACAAGACAGTACTTTAATGTTCTTAATACTGGTAGAATCAGTAGTAGTAGCATTTGCCATAGTTGTTGTGGTCATACTAGTTACAGTACCAGTAGTAGTAGTAGTAGCAATAGTAGTAGTAGTGGTAGAAGAAAAAGAAGGACATAGGTAGTAATGATATTAGGTGTAGCAGCACCATTATGAGTAGTAGTAGCAGTAGTAGCAAGAGTAACAGTAAAAGTTGTAGTGGTTTTGTCCAAGTAAATTAAAACCCACCAGGACTGCCATCATGTGATAACCCTCCAGAAACAGGCTGAAGGCCCAGTTTGGGCACTAAGCTATAGCCAATACATAGTTTGAGAAAACATTTCTGTGGTCAGAGAGAGCAGAGAACAGTATGTCACTGTAACTAATGACCAGACTCAGCCTAACTGTACCCATAATTCCATTCACTGGAACCAGGAGCTGCAGTTTGCCCTGGGCTAGCCAGGCGGATCTGGCCTCAGTTAGGACAACATGGCTTGTTTTCTGTTTCTATCCAACAGCAAAAAAATAATTCCTTTTATTCATCAAGAACAGCCCACAAACAAGAATTTGTCTTGGCGACAGATACATCTTAGACATATAGAAGGCCACCTGTAAAGTTGCTTTGAACTAAGTATGGGTTCGTTGATCCACCCACTTTTGTCACTTGACCAGATCTGTGTTGCAGTCTAACTGGCCTTCTCCTCAGCTCTGTCCTCCAGCTCGTCCTGAAGGTCCTGAGACTTTCCCAAGCCAAGTCAGATATGTAATCCCTCCAGTTTGTTGTGGGTCTGCCTCAGTGGACTCCTCCCAGTTGGACTAGAATACATCGTCAGGGAGGCATCCTGCACAGATGCTGAACCACCTAACAGACTCCTTTCACCGTGAACGATCACTGTTGGTTCTACTCGAGTTTCTTGCTGATACCTGAGTGTCTCATTCTGGCCCAAAGTACTGCTAACCAATATATCATACCGGAACCCAGAATTTAATGGGCTTAAGATTGTAGTGTTTAGTATCATGCTGCAGCATCTGCTCTGCTCTTTGTGTCGGGGCTGAGCTCCTCCACACACACACGAAGCAGCCAGCAGAGCATAGAGGCTGTGGTGGAGACAGTGAAATGAACCAGGTGAATTGAAGAAAACTCCAAGATTTCTCAAGTTGAGGACTATGCTCTTTACTGTAACTACATTCAATAACCTTTAAAGTAAAAAGCCAATTGTTACATCCCAGCTCACTAGGGGAAAGGGGACGTACGCATAAACCAGATGTACTTGGTATGGTGGAAAAGTTATTTATTTATACTAGAGTTGACAAGGTTTTAACAAACTAAAGTTGGGCAAGTGGGTGCTGTGAAAAACATAAACTCAAGATAACAAAAAGAGATCCCTCCAAAACAGGGATTACTAACTCAAAACAAAACACAGGGAGCACAGCACCCCTAAACCTAATGTACTAAACAAGGGAAAATCCTACGTGTAGAGTGGGTGTCAGTACTTACTCTAAAACCTAGCCCAACTCTGCAGACGCACGGTTATACAAAAACTAACTCAAGGGTGTCTCCTACTTTAGCTAAACAGCTAACACAAAGACTAATCTCAACAAAGAAAATACTGACTCTCAGTAATAGCAGTAACAAACACAAGCAGGCCACAGAAGTGAAGCTGCTGCAACCAGCAAACAATATACATACGTTAGGCTCAATACAAACAGTGATCAGCACAGAGGCAAAACAGTTAATGACAGAGAGCGCCCCTTGCACGGCAGTATGGTGGCTTTTATAGCAGCAGGCCTCAACCACAGCTCACAGATTGGTGGACGGTATTGGGACTGCTCCAATCAGGATAGATGTAGGCGGGAGCAGACAGATCCTCACTGACACCAGCCAATCCTCAGCCGGTCCATGTGTTTTGGTTACACATGGACAGTAACCAAAACACACGGCTGCTACCAGCGGCCGTAACAGCAATATTTTACCAATATACCTGTTCAACAAGACTACAAATGTAGAAAGCAATATTGTTATTTGCTCATCCACCGCTGCTGTGGTTTACACAAGCAGTTCTGTGAAAAGTGAATTGTTAAAAATAAGCTAAAAGCTAAGCTAAAGCTGGCTGTCGGTAGTCTAACTGTTAGTTTGTTAATTATTATTATTATTATTTATTTTTTTTTGTCATGCAGTAGTTATTACCTTACATATAATCTGCCACAATGACTATTCTATCCAATGCTACAGAAACTCTATGATACAGTGACGCAGAGGAAACGCTGCCCTTAAATTAATCTAATACTACATGACTGTCTACAACGAGGACCTGCAACTGTGTGTTAGATACTTGTTCAGCTCACGTTTATTCACAAGTCCCCTCTGGTTTAATCATTTCTGACACGCCGACTGTAACTAGAGACACTACAGTTTAATCACTCTTTAATGTTAGCCTCCTCCACTGATAAACACGGCATTAGCTTTGTGGCTAATTTAGCAACAGGCAGCGTTATCTGCAGTTGGTGATGTTGGAAAGTATTTAGAAGTAATAAATTAGAGAGAAATGAGAGGTCACTAGAACTGCCAAACTGTTTCAGAAATTAATCTACAATCACGTCTGTCAGAAGCGCAGCCTCCAACACTGTGTTACCGTAACATTAAACACACGCTGAGCCTGGAGAGGGCAGTGAAAAACGGGAGGGTTAGCGAGTCTGGTCTCCAAAGAGGAAAGTGATGAGGGCTATTTTTTATTATTATTAAAGTCATGTAACTGACATGACAAAAGGGAACAGTGAGTGTCAGAGCTAACACTGGCTCTGAGCTCTGCAGTCAGCTGATGTTTTGTTCTGTGGTGCTACCTTGTTGTTAACAGAGGAGCTGCAGCGCTCCCTCTGGTGGGCAAACCGTGCTACATTCATGACATGAGCGAAGGATCCGACTCTATGTTTCTCTTTTTTAATAGTCAGATATCAGCTGTTATGAACGCCGATGCTAGCTGATATCGGCAGATAATAACTGCAAAACAATAAATCGGTCGGGCTCTATGAATCACATCAGCAGAGAGAGGAGCAGGAGGAGGGGGAAAGGAAGGACTGATACTGACTGATGTCTGTGTTCTTCATTCAACTTCACTTATTATTTGACATATTAGATTTGTTTCCAGTGAGATATTATTGAGTTTATAAATTGACTATGCTGCTGTAAAGTCCAGGACAGATGTAAGGGTACAGTGTGCTTCACTTGGGGTGGTCTGATTGAACTTGTGCACAGTTGATGTGAACTGTTAAATCTTTAGAGTTCCTTCCTGAAAGCGAACTATCCCATCTTAGTTAGCATGCTAGTGGCTAGTAATAAATGTGTTTTAATAGTCACCAACTTTGGCATAACCCCGCATTTCAGCTATAAGCAGTGAACTGTGGGTTTGTTTTTCCCCACTTTTGTTGAGAAAGTATTTTTCAAAACTCATTCTCTTGAAACTACTGCGTAACCCAACTATTTCTGTCTTTTGTTTTTTGTCTCAAGTAAATGTCCCAGCCACGGTGGTGGAAGCCATGACCAGGCAGGAGTCCCTCCAGTCCTTCAGCAAGAACGGCAAACCCCCCTCCTCCTCGTCTTCCTCCTCATCCCCCCCTTCCACCGCCCTCATGCGCTCCATGGTCTTCCCCCACTCCCCCTGCCCGAGGAATTTCTCGCTGTTGGACAAGGTTGGGGTCGGGGTTCAGTCAGAGTCCAGTTTCAGCCAGTTGGGGTCGAAGAACCAGCGAATCCTGGCGAGCCCAACCTCCACCAGCCAGCTGAGCAGTGATTTCAGCGACTGGCACCTGTGGAAGTGTGGCCAGTGTTTCAAGACCTTCACTCAGAGGATCTTGCTGCAGATGCATGTCTGTCCGCAGAATCCTGACAGGTAAGACATTATCTAGTAATGCAATCTCTATATGAATGTTGATGCTGGATAAACAGCAGAAACTATTACAAAGTTCATTAATTCCTTAATGCGACTTGAATGTTGACCAAGTGTCACAAAAGATCTGTTCCCACCAGAAGCATTTCAATATGGAAAAGAATTTGTAAGCGTTAGACTCGTAAACTGTATGGATTAAACTAATAGTGGTGTAAAAAGATGCTCCAGTGAGAGTTTGGGATTGACCCCTCAAACTTTCTAAAAACGACCTAAGGTGACAACTTTTTTAGCCCCAGCTGAAGCAACTGCATTGTAGCCAAAATATTGTAAAACGAGTCTAAAGCCCAATATCTTTGAAACATATTTAACTTTTGGGCCCCATAGTGCAAATGTTTGGGTACAAACCATTCAGACTATGATGCACAACCTGTTTGGAAAGTTTAATGGACATTTTATTTTTTTAGCTTCAAAGTATTGATCACATCAAGATTTGGACAGGGGGGGCGTCACCCAGCAGAGAATGCGCACCAGTCGCCCAGGTTAAAATCTGACCCGTGGTTCAATTGCTGCAAGTCATCCCCTCTTGCTCTCCTATATTTCCTGTCCTCTTTGGCTGCACAAACTTAAATAAAAGATTTTGACTCTTAAGAAAGACTTATGGATAAATAATATTATATAATGTGATAGAATTATATGATATTAATATTATTATATGTAAATACAACATTGGTAGTCACTTTTACAGTCCTGAGATTCAATGTATTTAAAATCAAGACAAATTTCTCTAATACAGCAAGATACAAGATTGTTTCCTGTAACTTCTGATGACTTAAAAGAGAATAAAATTTTATATTTCCACCCTTTCTTTTTGGGTAGCGAAGCAAAAATGACACAGACTACAGTGTTTTAAATACCTGTTGTTGCAGTTTTTCTCAGCAAGCCGACAAACCAGACATTTAGTTCTAATAAATTCCTTCTCATCATCACATTTGTGTGTGACTTAAAGTGGGAGTTTGTGGATGAGAGTGAAGAGAGTGTAAAAGTGTTTGAGTGTGTGTGTAACATCTGCCAACTTAATTATATACAGCATGGATGGAGGAAGGAGGGAAGAAGAGGAGATATGTGTGTTTGTATTTGTGTGTGTGTTGAGGGGGGGCAGAGGATGTATTGGAAATTTTTTGCTTAGCTTTATTTTTTGTGGTGAGAGTCAGAGCGGCGTATAAATCAGTGCTGTGCGTCAGTGAGAAATACCTCGCCTTACGGTGACGGGGCCAGGAAAACAGATGCCACTTATTCAATAAAGTAATACTCATAGGGAAGAAAAATGTAGGCTGGATATGGAGGGGGGAGGGAGGGTCGATGTGGAGCTGCCTGTCAATAGGAAGGTTTTATGGGACAGAGGAGCAGATAAAATTCAGCTGAACAAGCCAAATAGGCCTAAGTGAGCCTGCAGCTCCAAGGCCCCACTGTGCCTGTAGACCAGTATGCCCAACACAGCATCACCCTGCCCATATAAAAAGTTCTGCCCACTTTTTCCAGCTCACTTCCTGTAGCCCCAGTCAGAGATTTTTGTATTCTGCTTCGTCATTGTACACAGAACCCCAGAGGATGACAGGATGGAGAACTGCAAAATACTACAAACCTAGTCTTGGATTTACATCAGGGATGTAAGTCCAACCCTAACTGTAATGGAAATAAGTAAAATTGTAGGAGCAGGGCAAATAAGTACTCCAAACATCAGTCTAAACTGGCAAGACACATCAAAATTCTTCAGGTACAGCCCTAGTATTTTCCCTTCGAGGACATCCTTAGTGTTTTTCTAAAAAGCCATTACAACATATGATTTTGCAAACATCACCAATACCCGCAGTTCCCATGAATCTAAGCTATAGGCAAGCCATAGATGCGCTGTCAAAACTTCACTAAGGAGGTTTTATACATCCTGTAGGTGGTTATAGAGGTCACTGAGGTTTTTGGGGTTCTGTAGGTGGTTCTAGTGACCCTTATAGAGGTCCTACATGTCCTTTAGGTGATATGTTTGGTTAGCAGTCCTGCAGATGGTTCTAGTGGTAGTTTAGTTTTTTTTTAGCGTTCACTGAGGGGGGACTTGGTGTAGTGTAGGGGTTTCTAGATATCTTTCAGGAGGCTCTAGCAGTCGTTGAGGATTCCTTAAGGTGGTGTTGTGGTCATTCAGGAGGATCTTGGAGTCCTGTATGAGGTTCTGGTGGTCCTTTGGGAGATTATTGCAGTAACTGAAGTTCTTTTAGGTGGTTATAATGATCACTGAGGAGGTTCTAGCTCTCTTTTAGGTGGTCGAACACCCAAGCCAAGGAGCATTGAAGCTGTTACCATACTAACACCCTTTATGTTGTTTTTTATCTACCCATTGTAGTCACCCATCTGTATTATCTGTGAAGAGTGTTTAGACATTAAACCAGTATATATATGTGAATAAAGAACCTGGCTTTGCGCCTTTCTCTTTCCTTTCTTGATTTCTTAGTAATGCTTCTCTCTCCCCTCATCCCCCCTCTCCCTTCATACATATTTATTGATGTTTACTTGATGGGAACATTTGGTGCCCAAGACAGATGGCTCTTTATATCAGCTTAAAAAAAACCACCACACACCTCCTCTCAGCTCCATCTCTTTCTGGTTTGTTTTTTTCTGCTGACTGTTTCTTTTTCTGAACTTTTTCGTCTTCCGTGTCATGTTTTCCCCCCTGTGTCATTTCAACAAAATCCATCATCAGAGGAGCAGTTTGTTTATGTCAGTGAGGCCTTGGAAGTGCTTTCGATTCAGTTTTAAACTTGTGTCAGGATGCAGGACACTGTTTAAGTTCTGTGATGGCAATGAGTGATGAATCAGGAAAAAAACCTGAACAGAAATAGACTGCGTTTCTACTTATAGGTTTGACATATTACAAAAGCAACGCAGTATAAACTACTGCAATGAACTGAATTAATAACCACAGCTTTTATGATTGATGTGTTTATTGCACTGGTGTTTAAGAGTCATTAGTGCTTTTACTGAAAATGGGGTACTTTTGGGAAGCACTTTGATCTCCAGTGTTCACAATTGAGGTCTCATTCTGGTGGCTGATGTTGTTTATGAATAAAGCATGGATGTGTATATCGATATAATCACGCATGTATATCAAAGGACATAGAGTTTACAGCATCACAGAGTTGACTTTTAAGGGGAATTAAATGCTAATGTTGTCATTTGTTTTTACTTTCTATCAATGCCTTGTCGAGGACTTGGCCTCAGCACACGGTTCTTCAGTTTTTCCAGTGATACAGTTAAACATTTAACATTCTCTATTACTCATGTAAGGATTACAAGAATCTCACACCAGTAATGGGGCATGTTAAATGTTTCACTCTATCACTGGAGAACCTGAAGGACCCTGAGCTGATTAACAAGTATGAACCTGAGAAAAACTTGTGGTTTTGATCCAGCATTTAGAAGTCACTGATGTTTGATTCATTTTCATGGTGATATTTTCACTTAATAGAGTTTCCAATTGTCTTAACAATTTTTATGTTTGGTCTAGCTTGTACTCTTATTCACAGTGACTTGAAGTCAACATTGAGTAACCCCGCAAGTCAACATTGATTCGAGACCATGATTACATAATATAGCGTACAAAGAACATGGACAGTAATGATAAAACAATGGTTATAAGTGCAGTTTTAGTTACTTATATATAATTATTTAACTATTCTTCAAGAAGGCACCTACTTTACATGTAATGTTAGCTTTATTTAGATGGGAAAACAGTGGAGACATTTTGAAGCAAGTGTGACCAAATCAACGATGTGTTAAAAGTTATATTTGTAATAAAATTTGAAAAAAAAAACTGCATCCTCTGCCCACTTGATCTCATAGTGTCTTTCAATGGACAGCAGGTATATTTTGACACATTAACAGATAGGGCTGCAATGATTAGTCGACGTGATCGACAACGTCGATTATAAAAATACGTTGCCATGAAATTTCATTGTCGATGTTGTTACAGATATGCTGTTTAAGGGACAGATAGTCTTCTTATTAAGAACATGTCTGGTTGTTCATTTCTAACTGCAATGCACTCCGTGGAATGCTAGGGGCAGCATCGAGAAGCGGAAGCAATGGTTTTTACAAGTTTTGTACGCATTTTCATCACTAAATACACTTTTGAGAGGTTTTGAGGCGAGAAATCAACCATGTAGAACTTGACTATTGGCAGCTTTTACTAGAGTAACTGGGACCACTGCAGCAGCAACAACAGAGCAACAGAGGAAAGGCCACAACTGTAAGATAGTTTCAATGTTCGTACCGCTGTTACTCTGTATTTACAATCTGAGTAAAGGTAGTATGAAAGGGGACTGTTGCTTTATTATTCTAAATAAACATTACATTGTTAGTGTACAGTTGTAGTTATAGTACTTGCTTTTAATGCGCATTTATTTTCTGTAGTTCCAAAGCAAAAATCTTTGTTAAAAACGTTTTAAAGTTAAAACCTGAGCTTATTGTTTTGGGTGATAAAGCCTGTTATCTAGCCTCTCCATAGTTCTTTTGCATTCTTGGTTTTGAGGTCTCATGGTTGATGCCGACTAAGCGAATGCTCTTTTAGTTGTGTTGGCAAACACATTAGGCGCAATAGTAAATCAGTGACTTTAAGGAGTATCCTATGCTGTCCAGTCTTCTTCCCTGGTTTCCCCCTGGCGTTGATACTAGTGTTCATTCTGAATAGAAACCTTGCTCACTTAATGGTAACGTTAGCTAGCTAGGCTGTATTTTGGAGATCAGTAATTCACTTGAAAGATATTTAATTAGTTTAATGGTTTAATTTGGGTTAGGGTTAGGGGGTGACAAAAATAATCGTGACTAGTCAACTAATTGAATAAACAAATTAGTCTACTTCTGAGAGGAGCCTTTTGGGTAATCAATGCAGCATCACTACCTTCTGACTAAACTGTGCCCATATAGAGTTTAATAAAAATGCAAATTCTCCAGCAGGG